TCTTTTTTTTAAATTTTTATCTTCTTAAACTTTGAAAAAACTACTTCTTGGTTCGAAAGGAAAAAAAGAAACAGAAGTGCAATTGTTTCGAGAAAATGCCATTAACTTGCATTTTTCTCGGTTTAAAAATGAAAATACTTTGTTTTAGAAGTTATATACTACGGAATTTATATAAAGTATGAGAAAATGTATCACAAGTAGGATCATTAGTTGTATTTGAATATCGAAAAAGGAATTGCTGGTTTAGTTGTTGTTGTTGTTAAACTTTATACGTGCTTCTGTGAGTTTACAACAAGAAACTTGCATAAGCTAATTCAATAAAATGTGCAACAATTTGTAAGAATTTACTATAAAGATATTTTTGTCTAGTAAAAATTTATTTTTTGAAGGAAAGGAACGACTTTGTGTGGTTCTTATTGCAAAACGTGAATATTTCTTATTCCATCCACTATAAAGTTATTATCTCTATGAGGAATTGAACACAATTACTGAAATTATAATTTTTCAATAAGTTTGGATCTATTGGTCAAAATGCTTTAATTACGTCCATTTCAATTTTATACAAAATTGCTATTTATTAAATATATTATAATTATCGGGCTCGTATTACGAAAAATGAAACTGTATGATTCTAGCACCAATCTAAGCAATTTCGAATGCTTTTATAAGTACGGAAGTTATGTATTAATAATGGATTTAGAAAATTCATCCACTGCATTCTATAACAATTCGCTCAGTGATATAAAAAAGGAGGAAATGTTAAATAGCCAAACACGGTTGGTTCTAACCCCACTTAGTAGTCCTTAGTCTGCAGCACTTAACTATTTTCCATATCCAGTTTTAAAATTATAAGTTTCTAAATATCTGCTAAATTGATTTTCTCTCATCTAGAGCAGTGTGTCCGTGTGTGAGAGTGTCAACGTGCCAGACATGACCAATTAGCAGTGTTGAAAGAGACACAATTACAGAGCTAGCGTGTTTGACCGCGGATCTCTCTTGGTAGTCACAATGACCTGCATGTGTTTTTAGGTGGAATTCTGACTAGGGTTCCTTAATCGATATTCTCGACCATATTGTTGATAATTAATTGTTCTTATTAATCGCTGCTAATTCTTAGTTAACTATTGATAATTAATTCATTTTTATGTATGATAATTTGTGACGTTGAACACTTTCTAAGTATCACGTTTTGGCCAAATAGAATGACCAGCTCAATCTAATTACCTGAACTATGTTAAGCATATTTTGGGCTATCTTAAGAGAGACGTTGCTATTTTTTAGTCATCCTTGGAGGTCGTTACATGAGGTGGAATAAAGATTACTAAGTGTCTGGTCGCTTCTTCTTTTTGGTGTCCAACAGCTGAATTATCAACATGGAAAGTCGATGCCACTCAAGTCAGGGGTGAATAAATTCCTTAGTAGAGCCCATTTTTGTAATCTTTCCCCAATATGCTTCCTCAAAGAATTGATGCCCTGCTTTCTCGAATAATGGACTTTTCTGTTAATTGTGTGTGCATTTTTTTTAATGTTTCAGCTCAACTTATGAAAATTAATGTGTCACATCCAATTAAAAATCTGTTTAGTGCACACTTTCCCCCAACCTCAACTTTTAAAGGGAAATGTATATTAATCTCTTTTTGTAACTGATACTTATGTTTTGCTGTTTATAAATGTGTGTGAGAGGAGTTGTAAATATAGATTACTTTTCATAGTGGTTAACTTTTGTTTAAATAATGCAGATTTTTAAATTGCCTAATTCATATTTTTTGTATGTAGTCTCAATGGATTATAGAAAATTACAGGGGCTGTATTGAATTATAAATAATCTTATATGATCGTCAAAGATAAACAGTTTTCTGTGTCATCCTGCTAAATGCTGACGGATTACTCAATGCAATATATTTATAGATCTGATTGAGTCTTATTGCTAGTTAGGAAAAAAATAGTTTATTTTGTAAGAACGTGTTTGATTTTTTTAAAAAAATTATAGTACATGAAATTTGCAAA